TCTCGTAGTTAGGGGGAAAGCGGTCTTTTCTGGGGTCTTGGCAGCCCATGCAGACTCTGGGGGAAGGGGATGGGGCAGGACTCTGAGGAGGAGTGTGGGTGGGGCAGGCAGGCGACGAGCACTCCTGTGGATGTGTTGGTTTGCGAGGGGTCAGGGACAGGCAGGCAGGGTGTCCAGTGGACAGCTGGGTGCACGGGTCTGGAGGCTGGAGGAAGATCAGGGACAGAAAAGCACAGTTAGCAGGACCCTAAAGTAGAGTGGAAATCCAACTGGAGGAAACCTGAGCTGGTTCCTCTGGCAGCTGGTCCTCAGGAGGAGGCACCTGGACAAGGTCAGGAAACCCAGTGGCGTCATTCCCAGCTGGGTGGGGGCTCGTGGAGCTGAGCGGAGCCCTGGTCACACTCACCTGATCAAGCTCTCAAGGGCCATGTCCAATCAGCTGGAAGTGCTGCCCCTGACAGCATGCCTGGGGGAAGGACCTCCCGCGGGGGCCTCCCTCCCTCTCCTGTGTCTTCCTCCGTCTAGCTCTACCTGCCCTTGACTTTGGGGCCTTCCTCTCCCCTCCCCTGCTTCTCTTCTAGTTCAGTTCCTGCTCCTACCTTCCCTCCGTGCCCGCTAGGGGGCAGCAGCTCAAGCAAGGAGCCACTGCTGGTGCCCTGCCCTCTGGTGGGGGTGAGGCCCAAATCACCCCCAGATCACCTCCCTTTCCTTTCCCTAGAGCTTGCAGGGAGGAGGGTGAGAGGGGCCACAGCGAACAACTTGGTGTTTATCTCCAGAGATTGGATTAAAAACACTGTTTTGTCTATGAGCGCAGGCTTATCACTCACAGCAAGTTTGTTTCCCTACCCAGAGGAGTGGGGGTATCTCAGATCAGCTAAAGAAAATAAAGATGCATATTTAGAAACCACTGCCCTAACCAAGATTATGAAAATTTGTAACTTTCTTTCCTTCTATAGGTTTTCATAGTTTTAGCTCTTCGGTGTGGGTCTTTGATCCATTGTGAGCTCATTTTTCTCTCGCCTCTGCTGTTGGGACTCCCCTTATGCATATGAGGGTGCACCTGGTAGTATTTCACAGGTCTCTCTGGCTATGTTTGTTTTTCTTCATTGTTTCTTCTCTCGCTTCTTTAAATTGTTTCATTCCAACTGACATCTCCAACTTTGACGATTCTTTCGCCTGACCAAATATACTGGTGAGGCACTCTAATGAAATTTAAAGTATTAGCTACTGTACTTTCAATTTCACCATTTCTACTTGGTTCCTTCTTTATGAGCTCTGTTCTCTATTTGATGAGACATGGTTCTCATGATTTCCTTTAATCCTCAGATAGGGTTTAGTCTAGCTCTGAACATCTTTAAACTAGCTCATAAAAAAAATCTTTGTCTAGTAAGCTTAATATCTTAACTTCCTCAGTGACAGTTTCTGTTGATTTCCTCTTCATCTCACCCCATTTATGGGCCATAGTTTCTTATTTCTTTGTACACCTCAGCATTTTTTTGGTTACTGATGAAAGCTGAACATTTTAAATATTGTAATGTGACAACTCTGGAAATCAGATTATTTCCTTTTTCAAGGGTTTATTTTTGTTGTTGCTGTGTGTTGTAGATGTGTAGTGACTTTTCTGTGCTAATTTTTTAAAGACTGTATTCTTAATTGTGTGTGAACCCTCAAGTCTCTGTTCTGTTAGTTTAGAAGTCAGGTAGGATCAGACAGAGACTTCCCTCCTAGGCTGGTACAGAAACATCTAGTCTTTGCAGATGGCTCTGTGTATGTCCTGGGCACACTTTTCTCATGTAGCTAAGCAGCTTGCAAGGTTGCCTTTGCCTTCACTTCCTGCTTGCACAGAGCCTGCTTGCACAGAGCCTATGCAAGGAAAGGTCAGCCAGCGCAGAGTTCAGAGCCTTCTCACATCTTTCCTGAGCACTGGGAAATGTGTATGGCCTACTAGATTGCTAGGAATATTCTAAAGTTTTCCAAAGTTGTTATCCCCCAAATGTCTCATTCCTCAGCTTTTCCTTCCAAGAGTTTTGGTTAGTTTATTGTTTGCCCTGGCTATTATTGACTGTTGCTTTAGCACTGGGTGAGTTCCAAGTTAAAGGTGATAAGGCAAGTGTTTCACAGAGCCCAAGACAGGCGATACAAGTAATTACAACTTGCTATGAGTGATTTTTTTCCTCCTCATTTCTGTATAGATTCTGTACCAGGAATTTAGGTTTTTTATCTTATTTTATTTTTTTTTAAAGAGGCATGTATTTTTATTTATTTGTTTATTTATTTGTTTGTTTGTTTATTTATACATGCACTGGGTACAGTCAGAAGTGCGAGAGGGTGAGAGAATTCACCAGAGCCAGAGCAGGGAGCAGAGCAGGCAGAGGGACCGAAGTACACTGCTGAGGGGAGCAGCGGGCAGCTGGAGAGGTCTGCACGCCATGTGGGACCCTCCTCCAGTGGCTGGGGAGCAGCTGGGGATCGAACCAGCGCTGCAGAGGCCGCGGGGGAGCTTTGCAACCCAGAGCTCAACAGCTGTGCCACCAGGGAGGCCCTAGGTTGTTTATTTTTAAGGCTGTAGTTGAGCTAGGGGGATGGGAAAAGAGATGAGAATAAGTTAAAATGCACTTCCCTGATTATCAAGAGCTTTGGTTCTTTCTAGAATTCTGAAAATGTTGTCTCATTCTCACAGTTTTTTCATTGCTTTTAGGGAAGGTCATATTTCTTAAGTTCCTTACACCACCATTTATGTAGATGTCACTACCACAACAATCATGTGTTAAGAGGCCCTCACATTTTGTGTTTCAAGCTCTACAGAACCTAGATCCACCCCCTAGCTGGGGTTGGAAGAAGGAACTCAGTTGGTTTTGGACATTAAGGAAATGTGCCCTTATAATGTGATTACACGTTAATTATCTCTGGACATGTGGGCAAGTGAAGTTACCAGGGGCTGAACAAAGTATCTCAGCACTCTGGGGAGAGGGGACTTCCCCCACCTCTGTATGGACCCTGGCAGCCTGAGACAGAAGCCCTGGAAACACTGGTGGCAGCACCATTGAATCCTGAGGTGGCCGTTTCCCACCCTTACTTTCACTCAACCTCTTCTCCCTCCCCAATCCCCACTGGTCCTGGCTCCTTAAGATGAAATTGAGGGGTCTCTTTAGATATAGCCTTTGAAGGATGAGTGATTAAGAATAATCTTTATTTTCTCATAAGGTTCTTTAGGCCACTGGCACCTCTGCACCCGCATAGTGAAGAAATTCACCTTGCCCTCAGCTTCTGGGAGGTAATCTTCAAGCCCTTGGAATGTTGTGCTTGATCAGAGTGTCTTTGGGTGGTGCCCTTGGGCCAGGCAGGTAATAATCATGTGATTTTGGATGGGTGCTTTGGGTCATGAAATGTCAACTTGACCTACTGAATGACTGGGAACCGAGCTCAGCCTTACGAGATGCCAGCTGAGTGTACGTGACGAATCCCCACGACAGTGGACACCGAGGCTCATATTGTCACATGCTGAGCCCAGGAGACTCACGCTGTCCTGACTCCATGGGAAAAAATTGGAAGCTCAGTATCCATGTAGGAGCAAATAATTGAGCCTAAGGATAATCTTGGTGTCAGAGATTAGGGTGGTCTTGTGGGCACTTCAAATTTTGCAGCTGTCTGATGTTTACAATGTCCACCAGCAACAGCCCCAGAGATCCAAGAAGCCCTACAATTGGCTCAAGCCCAGCCAGCCAGGACCTGCCTATTCCCTGTGGGGCCCAAATGCAAGTGAGGTCCATAGGCCTTTCTATAAAGACTAGGAAAGGTTCTACACCCCAAGATTTTAAAAAATATAAGGGAAGATTGGGGCTCCCCAGTGGCGCAGCAGTTGAGCGCTGGGCTGCAAAGCTGCCCACAGCCTCTGCAGTGCCGGTTCGATCCCCGGCTGCCAGGCGAGGGTCCCACATGGCGCGCAGACCTCTCCTGCCGCGCCCACTGCTCCCCTCAGCGGTGTATTTCGTCGGTCTGCCTATTCTGTTCCCTGCTCTGGCTCTGGTGAATTCTCTCACCCTCCCACACTTCTAACTGTACCCAGTGCTTGTATAAATAAATAAATAAATCTTTAAAAAAAATTATAAAAGAAAAATATAAGGGAAGATCAATGAAAAAGTTATACACTATATCCTGAAATAAGCATTACTCATACAATGAAATTAAGTATCAAATTAAATTTAATATATATGTTCAAAACTAGGGAACTAGTGAAACTCTTAGCCATGTTGTAGGAGCTAACATTTAAGGAAAGTTTTTGTGTCATAGACTATTCTGGCTGTTTCGAATGGCCTACTTTATTTACTCTTTAGAACAATTGTATGTGGTGGATGTTGTCATTAATCAGCAGATGAGTAGGGTGAGGTTCAGAGAACTTGTTGGAGGTCCCACAGCTCTGATGTCCTAGAGCAAGGGTTGAATACAGAGTCTTTCTCCAGGTCATGTCTTCTTAACCACTTGCCCCCTTCCTGCTCTGGGAACCACTTCTGTCCCGTGCTGTTCAGGTGCTGTTCTTTGATCATTTTGGGGTAGGGCTCATGTAATTTTAAATAGACTCTCATTCCTGAGGATTCTAGGAAGCAGGGGGTGTACTGCTTGGTTGATGAAGCTGTCGGGGAGGTTTCTTAGGCTGCGGATGTGCGATTGCACTGCAGTCCCAGTATTGGCACAAAATAGTCCTCCCAATGCTACTACCCCCACGTTGCTGTGGGATCAGGCATCAGGGACCCCTACTAAGACCTTTCTTGGGCTACACTGGCAAAGAGCTCCTACCAGCTGCCTGTCCTGGGGTCTGGCTGGGCAGGGGCTGGCATTCCGTGACAGCTCAGTCCCTTGCAAAGGCCACGTCCAGTTCTCAGGTCTCTGGCACACACTCCCTCCAGCTGCTGTAATCATTAACTCCTGCGGGAACCCAGGAGACAAGACTATCAGGGCATCTACTTTGCTCAACCAGACACAGTGACAGCTGAAGTCCTGAGATGGAGAGAGGTCAGGAAAGAGATGACAGTGAGGGGGTGGCAGGGCGGGAGCCAGCTGGTGGAGGCCTGAGGCTGAGGAGGAAGATGGGCCTGTGGAGCTCCATGTCACTGCTCACTGGCTGCTTGATCGGCTCCGGCATCTTCATGCCGCCACAGAGGGTCTTGATCTACACAGGTCTGGGCAGCTTATGGCCTCCTGGTCATGCTGGGCGCTCTGTGCTATGCTGAACTGGGTGCCTGGTTCCTGAATCTGGGGGGGGGGGTGTTTACCTACATCCTGCGAGCCTTTGGCTCCTTGCCAGCCTTCCTGGTCATCTACTGGCTCGTGCTGGTGGGCCGACCAGCAGCCATCACTGCCGTCTCTCTCAGCTTTGCGGAATACGTTGTGGTTCCCTTTTATCCCGGTTGCTCCTCGCTGCCTCAGGCCATGGTCAAGGGTGTGGCAGCCGCCTGTATCCTGCTGCTGATGCTGGTCAATTGCTGGAGCTCCCAGCTGGCCACCACACTGATGAACGTATGCACGGTCGCCAAAGTGTTGTCCTTGCTGATTATCGTGGGGGACGGGGCTGTGGTGCTGGGCCAGAGCCATGGCCACACAGAAGCCCTCCTGTCTGCCTTCTACAACATGATGCTGCAGGTCGGGCACATTGGCATGGCCTTCTACCAGGCGCTGTGGTCCTTTGACAGCTGGAATAGCCTCAGCTATGTGCTGGAGGAGCTCAAGAGCCCAGATGTGAATCCATGAGACTTCTTGGGGGTGGGGGGCAGGTGTGCAATCTCCCAATACCAGCAGCTCCCACTATTGTTACTTATGCTGAGGCCACGGGAAATCTGCTGAAAACTAGACATGCTTCCTGCATTCACCGGACCCAAATGCCTGTACTAGGCCTCCCTTGATTAAGTTATGGAATTACAGAAATGGTGAGTTCTCCAGTAAGCACAGAACTTGGTAGCTGTATTCGCGTGAACAGTGGGGTGTGCTCTGTCTGGCTGTGGGTGTAATAGGGCCCACGGCCCAATGAGGCGAGCTCCTATGCTGCAGAACTGGGATCTTCCAGTCAGATAGTCAATATTCTAGGCTTTGTGGGCCTTTGTCTGATGGGACTACTCAACTTTGTTTTAGCAGGAAAAGAGCCGATGCAGACTAGTGAGACTGTGTCCCCAGAAGAATTCATTCACAGAAAAAAGCTGCAGGCTGGACTTGGTCCACTGCCTGTAGTTTGCCCATCTCTGCTGGGTAGAGAGTATTTTTGACAATATGGGCTTCAAAGCTAAAATAAAACCATTCCTTTGAATCTGGGCATTGGAAAATCTGGCTCTCACTTTGATCACATTCCATCTTAGGTGTAGCTTTGTTTCACGGGCTTGGTTTTTTTTTTTTTTTTTTCCCTCAAGAAACTGCAACGCCTGTGCCAAAACCAGAGCCAGCCCATGCATGTGTGCCCCGGGATGTGAGCAAAGGAATAAGCAACTCAAGAGTGAACGCAGGAAATAGCACAGCTCTTCGGGTGCCTTGGCCAGAAACCTGTCCCTGGTGCGACTGGGGGCTTGGCAACCATCTCAGCTTTTTCTTGGTGGGTGGGCTGCCCCACATGAGTCAGCTTCAGAAGCAGGCCAGGTCCGTACTCCCTGACTCGTGTGGGCTGGGTTGTGTGGTAGGTGCTACCCTTGCTGAGGATACCCCACAATGTGCCCACAGGACGGGGGCCCTGGGACTTCCCTCCACTGGCCCATATTTACTACAGGTGGCTTCATCTGGGCTCCAGAAGAGCCATCATTTCAGGACTGGGATGCTGGGGAATGAGCTGCTATGGTTGGGCAATCTCCACTGTCCTGAGGTCCCCAGATTTTAGAACTGGAAGGGACCCAAAAGAACTGTCAGTTTGAGGATCTTACGGGGCTGGATTTTCAGTGCTAACACCCAGAAAGTCCCAGCAATCTGGGATATAGTGGTCACCCTGCTTGACCCTTGGCCTTAGAGGACAGGCCCGATGGGATGGGCCAGAGACTTGGATATAATAACCCAGTCCTGCTCTCTAGGGTGCTGCCCCCACATGCTGCTGGAGCTCAGGAAAGGGAGACTTCTCTGAGGCAGGGCAGTCACGCAGGCTTCCCGGAAGAGGAGGGCTGGAACAGAACCTCAAAGGACTGATGTGGTTAGGGGCAAAAACAGCCACGAAGAAGCAGTGTGAACAGGAACCGAGACCAGAAAAAACAGGGTGTTTGTATTTTAAGAATCATGAGGGGGTGTGAGGACCCTGAGTGCTGAGGCTGGTCACAAGGACTGAAGCAGGTCCAGAGGTGCCCGCTGCGTCCTCCATGCCCCTGTACCTTCCCTTCCATGGCCATCTCCAAGGTTTTCTGCTGCCAGATCCCAGTCCTGGCAGAAAGCTCTGCAGATCGCTTTTATATAATGTCTGTGAACAGAAGCTCTGCGAGCCAGGGGCAGACGCTTAAATGGGGGAGGTCCCAGTGTTTGGGGAGGAAGTCTGAATAGGACTGGGGTGCAGCTCTACCCTCCACCTCTAGGTCAAGCTCTGCGAGAGCTCCTGTATCTTGGTAAACATGACCACTACTCTGTTTTGCTTCATTTTACATGTCCCGTGCCGATAACAGCAACCCCACGTTCTGGAATGTCGTTTGGTGCTTTCTAGAACGTGGTTGAGAGGACAGACTCTGGGACAGACTCTTGCCTGCCCTTCCTGAAGTAAGCCAGATGGCAACTAGAGAAAGCCCTCAGGGCTTGTGTGTGCCGAGGACAGGCTTCTGTGTGGTGCTTTCTTTGTCTCCATCCCCACACTGGGGCCTCAGTCCTCTGCTCTGGTGGTCATTAGTGCTGTCCACCATCTTTTTCTGGTTCTCTGCTGGGCTGGAGGTGGGATTGCATTTCACCACTCCCTTGGAGTTTTTTCTCCTTCCTTTGGACAAGAACAGAAACACTTCTAGGTATCAAGCCGACCGACTTTCAGGTTGGAATGACACCATAGTTTCCTGGGTCTCCAGCTTGCTAACTGGAGATCTTGGGACTTCTCAACCTCCATAATCATGTCAGCCAACTCCATATGCACACAAACGCACACATATGGACAGAGATTTATTAGAATAGGATATACACCTGTATCTAAATCTATCTCCCATTTGTTCTATTTCTCTGGAGAATTCTGACTGATACGTCACTTTGGACCTTGTGAGAAATGCACATTTTCTTAGGCCCTACTCAAACTCACTGGATCATTAACTCTTGTCATGGGGCTCAACAATCGAGATGAGCAATTCTGATGATCCTTCGAGACTGAAAACGGCTGCTCTAAAAATGAATGGTGGCGATAGGAGAGAGCTCGAAGCACTCGGCCGAGCTCTCGCATCTGCTCCTGAGTTATTCTTGGGTGTCACTGAGCATTCAGGTTGATTTCATTATTCTATAAATGGATCTGAAACATTTGGGCTTCTAAACAGCCTGGATTTGGGGCTGGGGGCGAAAGGAGGGAGCAGAGAGTGGCCCAGACCACACCATCCACTTCCATGTGCTAAGGACCGGTCTACGCCTGCGGTAATTTAGGCTGGCACTGGATTTTAATTCACTGGGATACAGTACTAGCCAGGGTTCTCCAGAAAACCAGATTCAATGTATATAGGTATATAGGAAGAGATTTATTATGAGATTGGCGCATGTGATTAAGGAGGCAGAAGTGCCACAATCTGCCATATGCAAAAGAGAAGCCCAGAAAAGCAGGTGATGTCATTCTAGTCCAAACCCAAAGGCCTGAGAGCCATAGGAGCTAAGAGGGTAAGTCCCAGCCTGTGTCGGAAGGTCCATGAATCCAGAGCACCAGGGCCTGAGGCCAGAGAAGATGGAAGTCCCAGCCCACGCAGAGAACAATTATAGCCTCTCTCCATCTTTTTATTCCATTGTAGCCTCAGTGGACTGGACGATGACATGGTGCTCAGTCACTGATTCAAATGCTAATCTTTTCTAGAAACACCCTCTCAGACACACCCAGAAATACTATTTTACCAGCTGATTGGGCATCCCTTTTCCTGCCCGTTGACACATGGAATTAACCATCACTACCCTGCTCCATCCACTCTCCTCTGCTCCACACTTCTGTGGAGCTCTAAGGTGCAGTTTTTACCCCTTGGGTCCACTCTCCCAGGTCCACAGCACCCAGGCTGATCCCTGAGAAGCACACGTGCTGTGTTTGTTCACTCGGTCTGCTGTAACGATGCTGCAGACTGGGTGCCCGAATATCGGGAAAGATTTTCTTTATAGTCCCACAGGCTGGACCAGGGTCACAGCATTGGCGGGTTTGGTTTCTGGAAAGGCTTTCCTGCTTGGCTTCCAGACGTCTGGCTTTTTGCTGCGTGTCCTCACAAGGCCTTTCCTCTACCTGAGCTCTCCTGGGGCTCTGCTTCTTATGAGCACACCAGGCCTGGTGGATGAAGGCCCCGCCCATATGAGCTCACTTAATCCTGCTCAACTCCTGAAAAGCCGATCTCTGAACATATGGGGCGGGGGACACGACAACGACACACAATTCAGGCCATAGCTTATGCGCACATACTTCTGTTGCTCTCAGGACAGACCAGAACCCTTTTCATGGTCACCAGGGTCCTATATGATCTGTTTCTTACCAGCTCGCCCCTTTTCTCTGTTTATTCTTAGTTCCTCAAACATGGAGGCATCTGCCCTTCCCGGGACGCGAGTACGTGCTGGTTCTTCTGCTTAGAACATTCCTTTCAATCACTCTCCCTCACGCCCTTAGCCACTTTCTTCCTAAAATTTCAGCTCACACATCAAGGAGGCTTCTCACAGCCCCGCACCAGGTCAGGGCCCCCCTGTTTTGTTTTCACGTGCCTTACTTCTTCTGTGGCACTGAATACCACTGTAGTTAGATCTCTAAGTGTATACTGAGTTCTTAATGCCTCTCTCCTTCCATAGAACAAAAACCCCAGGACAGCAGGGACCACACCTGTTCACTGCTGTATCCCCAGCACCTGGCATGATGCATGGTCATACTAGATGCTTAAAAAGCAACTACTTAAGGGCCCTCCCACCCCCACCGGTGGCACAGCGGGTTGAGTGCAGTGCAGTGAAGCTGTCTGCAGCAGGTTCGATTCCTGGCCAGTCAGGGAGATTCCCACATGGCGCAGGAGACCTCTCCTCTTGCGCCCGCTGCTCCCCTCAGCAGTGCTTTCGGTCTGTCTGACTGTTCCGCTCCCCACACTGTCTCTGGTGAATCCTCTCACCCTCCCACGCCTTTGGCCTGTGCCCAGTTATAAATAAAAAATAAATCTTAAAAAAAAAAAAGCAGCTACTTAAATCGTTGATGGCAGATTCCTTATTGGACTTTCAGGTGAAGAGAAGAACCATCAATTATCGATAATTTAAAGCTCTAACCTTCCTTTCATGAATCTCTTTCAAGCCTCCTGGCCAGGCTGATGAGAATTATATCATCTTGACTTATTTTAGAAATTGCACAGAAAACTCTAAAATCTCAATAGTGAATGTTAAATTTCCAGCTTTGCCCAAATTTCTGAATCATGGGACAGCTGAAGCAATTTGTTCCATGCTCCTGTGCAACATGACTTTGTTCCTCCTTCTAACAACTAGTCTTCCCACTGGGCCTTATAACTTGTTTTGGCCAATAGAATAGGGCAGAAATGATGCAATGTGAGTTCTAGGCCTTGCCTGCAACCGTTCTTGGACTGCTGACCCAGGCCACAGTGTTAGGAAGCTGATTAGCC